TGCTTTGCTGACCTAAATCCAATGGAGAATACTTGACTTCAAAGTAAAAGTTACATCTACAATCAACATGTTTTAAAAAGTGCTTTTTCTTTCATTTCAGGTGTTGCATTTCTTTGAGTGTGAGTAGTGAGCAAGTGTTTGCAGACAAGTCGGCATCTTTCATGCAAACTATGAGTGCCTAAAGCAATCTGCTTGCTGAACCAGAAACATTTTCTATGACCAATTTCATAAACCAAGAGCAAGCAACCTCCCGTCACCACTTCAGAATCAGTCAGGGCACTTTTCCTATAGCGACCATTTGTTACCAGACGGTTGTTGATCGGTCTGTGGGACTGGGTCCTTAAATATTTACCAGATGGAAGGACTAAAAAGTCATTAACAAATCCAAATTATCAATAGTTTGCAAGGTTGTTTAATCTTATTTATGATTCTGCAGAAAGTTTGTAGCAATTCTAATATAGTGAAGAGCGCAAAAGCTTTGTAGAGTGTTCTCAACTGCAGTTTTTAGTCAGTTTCATTTTTTGATTAGTTTTAGCAATCTGACTAGAGTGAAGAATAAAACAACTGCAACAAGAGCCTCCGGAAATAGGGGTCTCTGTTCAGCTCCAAACAATCTCCAGAGCAGTTTGTTTATGTGAGAACATGATCCGACCTCAATCCAATCCAGCTACCATATAATTTGCAAATCTGAGATTTTTACCTTCCCCCAGTCATCCCATATGCTTTGCATTCTGGGATGCAGCAGTGGTACCATGTGCAGAATACACAAACAGTCAGTGCAGGCTAGCAATAGTTGTCAAATGAATGTAAATTCTCAGTTTTCACTAGGCCAGAACATGGCACCTTCTTCCTGTTTTCTTTTGTTGTTGCTCCCAACCTAGACATATGTAGGCAGACTGAACATCCTCTCATGGTTTGCAGTCATGAATTTTGACTCTGCAGAAATTTGCTTAGAGATAAAAGAAACCACAACAAAAACCTACAAGGCTACAAACTCATCAACTGACTTGGACCACCATATGTGAGCTATAGGCATCAACATTTTTACTGCAAATGTTATACTACTACTGCAATTAAGAGAAAGGAGGGAACAGCAGAAATAATTGTGAACTTCTAACAGGTAAAAGTTATAAACACAAAGACATTGAATGTCATATCTTGTAGAAAATTATTTCAATAAAAACGACATTACCAGCATCAATGTGACTTTGTATCAGTTCAGACTGTCTAACATTTAATGACTTATAATTGATTCCTGAATATTTTATGAGATGACTGGGGTTGCTTGTCTCCACAGGTCCTTGTGTTACATTA